ACACACACACACACACACACACACACACACACACACACACACACACACACACACACACACACACACATACGCACACTATCTGAACACGGTTGGGAACAGGGTGTCTCTTACGGCGGAAAACGAGAACAACGTGTTAATACATAGCCGCCACATCAGAATCGACCCATCACGATTGTATGTGGAACACATGGTGCAAAATGCAATGCAATATGGAGAACACAGACACAAGGAACCCCACTTTTGCACACGTTTGGGATTTCGTGACAGAGAGAGAGAGAGAGACAGAGGGAGAGAGGGAGATAGAGAGAGAGAGAGAAAGAAGGAGGTGGACATCACGTTTCTCTCCCGTCCTTCAGAACACGCGCTGCTACAATCTCGCACCTCTTTATCAAAGTTCGCAAACAGTCGTCGACTCGAAACGCATGTTTGCATCGCCCGCAATCGTTGCTCGCACACCCCGCGTCTGCGTTGCTGACGACATGCGACATGACCTCCGTCATTATTGAGACGAGGTGACATATACAATCCGTTGCGAGCCGTGCCATCTGTCGCTTGTTCGCTGATTCCACAAAAGTCCGAAAGTTGTCACTCGTCATCGGACTAAAGACGCCAGAGGACCCAACGTGTTCGTGCGGCACGCTGCTGGCGAACACACATGGGAAATTGTGCCGGGTTTTGTATTGTTTAAAACTTTGGAAATCGTGGCACGAAAGCAGCATGTGACTTGCTACGCATTGCGATCGTGCTGCTTCGCAGCCATCCGCACGGTCCGTCGTGCCGTCCTCCTTCACAAATCGCGTCTCTCCGCCGGTGTCATTGTATTCCTTGCCACATCCCTCCCCTTCCAGTCACATTCGGTGTCCACACGAGAACGACGCACGTGCGTGCTTCAGACTGACCATGACATCTGTGCAACTGCTCAGCAGAGCCCATATATTGGGGGGAGTCAAAACGCTCTGCCATTCAAGGTCAATGTCGGCCCGATATTTGAGACAAGTGTAGTAGTTGATAGTTTCTACACAATGTTTGATGCAGTCCTCTGAGAAGGACAGAAGGTCAACGTGTGCATTCAACGGAGCAGACTCGTCGCCGCACCCGTCTTCCTGGCTATTGTAGCACGCCCATCCTTGTCTCAACACACATTGTTCTCCTGGTGGACAACACTTCACATCCCACTGATGAGGGACATGTCGGGGGATTTTTCGCGGTAGACGTCTCCGTCTATTTATGCGAATATCAACAGGCGTGAACGCAATTTCTGCCTCTTTCAAGATCGATTCTAGGTCTTCAACCCTGTGCCTCAGACTATTTCTCTCTTTGTGATATCGATCCAAACCGTCAAACAACCACAACACGCTGCACCAGCCATGATCCATGTTTTCCTTCAACAACGAAACCTCCTTCGCATAACGGTCAATCAACGCTATCATTTGTCTACCCAACTCTCTCTCCTCACGCAGTTCGGTCGTCAGTTTATCTATAAGTTCCTGGTGCCTCTGAACAATGTCCGCCCAGCACCCATCTATCATGGCTCTTGCTCTATCCTGGGCCTTGACCACATCGCATGGGGTCGCAGTCATTCTGCCCGCGTTTGCACTACTCGGTGTTGCCGGGTTCGTATACTTTCTTGATATCTGGAAAATTGAAAGACAGATATCATTTATGTCTTTGCCAGCTCGGGCATCAGTCCAAAGAAGGCAATGGTTTTTTCCATTAGTATCGTGTGTTATGGCAGAAACAGATAGATACATAGATAGATAGATAGATAGATAGATAGATAGATAGATAGATAGATAGATAGATAGATAGATAGATAGATAGAGAGAGAGAGAGAGAGAGAGATGTGAATGAAGGGAGTGAAAGAACAAACTGGATGCGAGGTGCAAAATCGTGGCGAAGTTGCGACAATGGCGCGTCTTCTAAGGGATGCGGTAACATGTTAAGAGTCTCTCTCTCTCTCTCTCTCTCTCTCTCTCTCTCTCTCTCTCTCTCTCTCTCTCTCTCTCTCTCTCTGGTATTACGGAAGCACATTACTTACACCATGTGACGTTGTGGTTGGGAAGTAGCGGCCGAATATGAAGACGTTGTTGCCGTAAACCGGCGTATCTGACACCCACTCCCCACCCTTGTGGAAATGAGGGGGTTTTGATGTTTGCATCGCCGATAGTGTGTGTGTGTGTGTGTGTGTGTGTGTGTGTGTGTGTGTGTGTGTGTGTATGTGTGTGGGAGGTGGGGGCCGAAGTGGCACACACCTGCCAACCTTGTGGAAGTGAAGTTTTTTTTTTTTTTTTAGCGCATGCAGTTGATTTTGTGTGTGCGTGTGCGTGTGTGTGTATGTGTGTCTGTGTGTGTGTGTGTGTTATAAAATATCACCACAATTTTCCCTGTTCCACCCAGATCAGTACATCCAACGTCATCGCAACTTTACCTGTATTGCAGACAATGAAGCATGCTGGAGATGAGCCAATCCAGCAATGAGACAATTTTGCTTGTGAAGTCAATATCTATTCAGAACTTTACCTTTAAACAAAGAAGGGATCTCACCTTTACACAAGCAATGCAACACACTTCCCGTGTTCATCCCAAGCGTGAAAAGAATACTCCACATGATGTATTTGTTACTATGTTTTATCGTTTCCTTGATTATGTTTTCATCACGTAGCATTGGGAGGTCTCCCATTTCTTTGTTTTTGCAGTTACCCTCTTAATGTGCCTATCACGTACAAGGCTGGCCACGTTGATGATGGTTGAGCGCCAGCTGCCTATATCCCTGTGTGCCTTTACGGCCCACTAGCACGCTGGAGGAGCCAGAGTAAAAGAGTCATTAAATTTTGTCTGTTCTCTCAACGACGATCATTCTTATGCGTTTACCAGTAGTACACAAGGAGAGGGAGTAGACGATGGTGCGAGGAATGTCTCCTCACGGGGCTCGGCCAACCTGCGCATGTTCTGGCCATAGGCCCCCCCAGCAAAGCCTCGTGCCCACCCTAAGTAAAGGCGGGCCTGTGAATCATCAAGAGGCCCTGCAGACACCATTTCAGCAAAGCAGCGTCATACAGATTTCCACGCCAGTTGGTTGAAGCACGCCCAAGGTGCTGAGACGTAGCAACCAACCACCCGAGGTCCGGGGCGTCGAGAAACAGTTGGACCCTGGGCAAGCAAAATGTGAGGCTGAGAATTCACGCCAGACTTAGAGGTTGGGAATGCCTGCGGGAAAGTGGCCTACAGACTAAATCTGGTCACGGGTCTGC